TAGGACAATAAATATCAAGTAGGAGTGAAGCAGAGCTGGAGGAGAGAGCAAAGCACCGTCCCATAGGAGAGAGCAGGAGACAGGTATGTAAGGTAGAGATTACTCTGGGAGGCCATAAGCTTTCCTGAAGAGATGGGTTTTAAGGCCCTTCTTAAATGATTGAAGACTAGGGAAGAGTCTGATGGCAGTAGGCAAGCTATTCCATAGGAGAGGAGCCGCCCGCGAGAGGTCCTGCAAGCGCGAGTTGGCCGTACGGGTGCGAGCAGCGGTCAGGAGGTGGTCACGGGCAGAGCGGAGGGTACATGGAGGGGCATATTTATGGATCAGTGAAGAGATATAAGCGGGGCTAGAACTGTTCAGTGCTTTAAATGTATGGGTTAGCACTTTGAATTGACTCCTATAGCATACAGGGAGCCAATGTAAGGACCCGCAGAGGGGTGAGGTGTGAGAGGACCGACTAGAGGAAAATCAGTCTAGCTGCAGCATTCATTACAGACTGTAGCGGGGCAATACGGCTTTTGGGGAGACCAATCAGGAGAGGGTTACAGTAATCCATGCGGGAAATTACTAAAGCATGGACAAGCTCCTTGGTAGCATCTTGCGTAAGAAAGGGGCGAATGCGGGCTATGTTTTTGAGTTGGAACCTACAGGACTTGGCAACAAACTGGATGTGAGACTCGAAGGTGAGACCAGAGTCAAGTATGACGCCAAGACAGTGCGCTTGCAGGGATGGACTTATGTGGATATCACTGACTTGAAGGGAGAGCGAGAGAGGAGGATCAGTATTAGGAGGAGGAAAGACAAGGAGTTCAGTTTTAGAGAGGTTAAGTTTCAGAAAGCGTGAAGACATCCAGTCAGAGATGGAAGAAAGGCAAGCAGTGACACGCTGCAGGACAGCAGGGGAGAGGTCCGGGGAGGAGAGGTATATCTGAGTGTCATCAGCGTACAGGTGGTAGTGGAATCCAAAAGAGGCAATCAGTTTACCAAGAGAGGCGGTATAAAGAGAAAATAGAAGGGGACCAAGGACAGACCCTTGGGGAACTCCAACCGAGACAGGACGAGGGGAGGAGGTATCCTTGGAAAAGGAGACACTGAATGAGCGCTGGGAGAGATAGGAGGAAAACCAAGAGAGGACAGAGTCACAGAGACCGAGCGATTGAAGAGTTTGAAGGAGGAGAGCATGATCAACGGTGTCAAAGGCAGCAGAGAGGTCAAGGAGAATTAATATGGAGTAGTGACCTTTGGATTTAGTGGAGATTAGGTCATTAGTCACTTTGATAAGAGCAGTCTCAGTAGAGTGGAGAGGGCTGAAGCCAGACTGAAGAGGGTCAAGGAGAGAGTTGGAATTAAGGAAGCGGGACACACGGGTAAAGACAAGCCTTTCCAAAAGCTTTGATGAGAAAGGGAGCAGGGATATGGGACGATAGTTAGAAGGGGAGGATGGGTCAAGAGATGGTTTTTTCAGGATAGGTATTACAGTGGCATGTTTAAGGTCAGCAGGAACAGTGCCAGAAGAGAGAGAGCAGTTAAAGATGTGTGTTAGGGTAGGCACAAGACAAGGGGGGAGAGATCTGATGAGGTGAGATGGGACAGGATCGAGCGGGCAAGTGGTGGGGCGAGAGGAATGGAGAAGCGCAGCCACCTCTTGTTCAGTAGCTGGGTAGAAAGTCTGGAGGGTAGGGAAAGCAAGATTTATATGTGGTTGAGAAGGAGAACGGCAAGGAGGGGAGAATTGTTTCCTTAGCTGTTCAATCTTGTCGGTAAAGTAGCATGCAAGGCTATCAGCTGTAAGGTTAGTTTGGGGGGTGGCCACAGCAGGGCGGAGAAGGGAATTAAAGGTGTCAAAGAGGCGTCTGGGATTGCGGGAGCATGAACTAATGAGAGAGGAAAAGTATGACTGTTTGGCGAGGGCGAGGGCTGCGCTGGATGAAAGCAACATGAATCTATAATGGAGAAAGTCTGCCTGGGTGCGGGACTTCCTCCAGGAGCGTTCAGCACAACGGGAGCAACTCTGCAGATAGCGTGTTGATTTATTATGCCAAGGTTGGGGTCGTGTTCTCCTCGAGGTGCATGTTTTGAGCGGGGCTGCAGCGTTCAAGGCAGATATGAGGGTAGTGTTATATGTGGAGATGGCCAGTGAGGGACAGGAGAGGGAAGGGATGGATAGCAGTGAATCAATGTCAGCTGACAGCTGCTTGAGGTCAATAGAGTTAAGGTTCCTCCTGAGCTGAGGGGGGTTAGGCTGAGATTGTTGGGTGAGGGGGTAATTGAGAGCAAATGATAAGAGGTGGTGATCAGAGAGAGGAAATGGGGTGTTGCAGATATTAGATATTGTACATGAAGAAGAGAAAATAAGGTCGAGGGTATTGCCAGCTACATGAGTGGGAGAATCAGCCCACTGCAAAAGTCCAAGGGAGGAAGTGATTGAAAGTAGTTTAGAGGCTGCTGGGGTCAAAGGTGGGTTAACGGGAATATTGAAGTCTCCAAGAATTAGGGATGGGATGTTGGAAGAAAGGAAGTAGGGTAGCCAGGCAGCAAAGTGGTCAAGGAAGAGGAGAGGGGAACCAGGGGGACGATAGATTACGGCAATGTTAGCAGAGAAGGGTTTGAAAAGGCGAATTGAATGAATTTCAAATGATGGGAAAGAGAGGGAAGGGGGCAGTGGCGTGAGAGAAGAAAACCTACACCGCCACCTTTAATCTCTGCTTGTCTTGGATTGTGGGTAAAGTGAAGACCACCAAAAGACAGTGAGGCAGGTGTAGCAGCATCAGAGGGAGAGAGCCATGTTTCTGTTAGTGCAAGTAGGTTTAGGGAGTGTGAGATAAATAGGTCATGGATGGAAGTAGATTTAAAGGTGCTGCACACAGAGCGTGCATTCCAGAGGGCAGCTTTAAAAGAGGAATTATAGTGAGAATTACATGGAATGGGTATTAGGTTGTTGTGGTTTCTGGTGCCTATAGAGATTGTCTTAAAGCAAACTAACTCATTTGGAGATGTTCCAAATGACTTACACCTGTAATGAGAATTATTTAATTAGAGCTAAGAATAATTAAATATCCAATTCATTAAGAACTCAATTTTTGTTTTTATGTTTATGTTTGTGTTTTTTCTTAATATACTGAGCACTAGCAGAGGAAAATATGTTCAGGAGTGAAGGTGACAGAATGTGGCTGTTTGAACCAATGAGAAATGTTTGTTAAAAACATTCTAATCCCATTGCACATTATGTATACTTGCTATAGATGTATATACAATGGATTTGTAGAACATATACAAATATGAATTTAGTCACTCAAGAATATGCACAAAGTATTTTGACTTTTTCTGCAGAGATCGTAGTCTTAACACATTCTACTTTGTTACCTATATGATAGAAAGCTTGATGCTCATTTTAGGTTGGGAAGTAAAAGTGAATAAAGCCAGTGCCAATCTAAATTTACTGTTTAGTGGCATAAAGAAAAAAAATACTTTTGTTAACTGTAGAGTTCCACTGGTAGATAACATACAGAAAAAATGGAAATTGGGGCACACCCAGTGGTGCTGCCTTAGAGACCAAAACATATATAAAATACAGTTAAATGAACAGCACGCACACAAACAAAAATACATTTAACAAGGCTATTTAAAATCACCTATCATAGCAAATAAATATGGGGATTCAGTTCCACCATATGGCCATATTATGTTAAGCTCACCACTAAGTCACAGTACCCCTACACTAATTTTAACATGGGAAATTTACATACTAACTTGCGACACTTACTTGCAGTATTCCTCAATGTAAGCTTTCCTGTGGTCACCTCCAAAGGGGCAACCTTAGTGGATGGGTGTGGTGCTCAGCCCAATAGGAATCCGGTCTGGAATCCAAATCTACACAGAGAAAATGGGAATTGGGGGCACACCCAGAACATGCATTTCTGAGCGGTGGTGCTGATGTAAATAGTAGATATTATAGACATTTGAATGTATGTACTCTATACATGAGTCATTGGCTCGTTTTTAATAGATTGCTAAATTACTAATTATCAAATAAATTTTTTTCAGTTAAACTGATATATGTACTACAAAATGTTGGGATGTATAGTGTATGGTTTCTGGCAGCCTATGGCCCTAATTTATTTTAAGAGTAATTTTAAAAGTAGAAAGAACCCATACTCACAGGCTTGTCAGTGATTCCCTTTGCTACACACCAATATACTGTAGATCAATATACTGCAGATTAAGTCATTGTCTTCTTCAGTTGTTGTTTGAAGAAAAGTCATCTTTTTATTTTATTTTTGTGTGTGTGGTATGTAAGAAGGAAAATGTATGACCACTGATAGAAAAATTGAATAGGTGGTTGTTTTTTATGTTGGTCAGATCAACCAACCAGGAAGATGAGTGACCATAATAAGCCAACAGTGTGGCTGAGGGTGGGGAGGACTATGTGTGCCATTTGCAGCCGATCTAATCCAGAATGGTTAGACAACAAAATGTAGGGTTGACACCCAGAGATTTAATGAACCTTAACCTCTACAGTGAACCATAGCTGCTATGGCTTAGAGTACCCATTCCAATACAGGGACATCACAGACTCATAAATCTGTTATTTGAGTCTTCATGCTACGTATTACGTACAGTTTAAATCATGTAGCCATACAACGAGGAAAGATAAGCACATCTTTAGTTTCTTTGAAGTATGTATTAAAATCAATCACTGCGCATTAAACAAGAAATAATGTCTCAATAAACAATAGCACCGACTGTGAATTGGTATTGTGTCTTCTGCAGAAGTGCACATTAAAATGAAATGAAAACTATTTTAAGACCTAGTGCAGAGCACATGGTAACATGTCTTTCGTCAATAATGGTACCTGCTGTTGATTCAGTGCTATAGACTTTGCTGTATATCAGCCAAGTGATCTGAGTACTCTTAATTAGTGATGTCTCGAACGGTTCGACGAACGGTTCGCCAAACGGTTTGCCATGGACGGCGAACATATGACCCTGTACCTCACAGTCAGCAGACACATTCCCGCCAATCAGCAGCAGACCCTCCCTCCCAGACCCTCCCACCTCCTGGACAGCTCACTAAGAATGCAGCTTCAAAATGGATGCTGTCCAGGAGGTGGAAGGGTCTGAGAAGGAGGGTCTGCTGCTGATTGGCTGGAATGTGTCTGCTGACTGTGAGGTACAGGGTCATATGTTCAGCGAACCGTCCGGGACATCACTACTCTTAATATAAACCTGTTACACATATAACTATTTCTACATACTGAAAAAGAAAACTTCATATACAAGTATCACTCTATCTCTGCCTCTAAACATCTAACAGGTGGCAGTTGTTTTGGCAAAGTTTAAAAGTTTGACATGGGTAAATATTTAAGTAGTTGGAAATAGCAAACTTTTCTTACTTTAAGCAGTGCTGTTTAAATCGCCAATATTGGATTTTGGCTGAGCTGCTTTTTATTGCAAAAATGTGACCACCCCATCAGCTCCATTGATTTTACCAATTTACGTGCTTACTTTGTTATTTAGGGCTAAAACCTAGTCAGTCAATCTGATTGAAAAGGGATTTAACTTTAAAGGCTTGTTGTTTTCGGGCTCTGCATGTTGTCACTCAATCTTATTTGTAAATCTACCAGTTTCAATTTCTAACCCACTGTTCTGCAAAAAAAAAAAAAAAAACAGCTTTCAGTTTCAACTCAAGATATTGACAGTTGTCATTAACCCTTACACTAGGCTTGCGATGCTGAGAGGGCTTCAGAAGTTATCTGCTTATGGCCAGTTCTTAGAGGGGCTGGCCAAAGCATCTCTGTTAGCCTGGTGTGCATGCACTTCAGGCCTATACACCTTCATTCCTGGAAGCCCCTCTTGTCACCACTATTTTGTAGCCCAACCACCCACTCATGGTCCTACTTTCAATCTAACTCCCAAGATTGAGAAAAATGTTAATGTGTTTGTTTGGAATATGCTTCTATGTTTTACAGTAATTTTAATATGGGTTCTAAGCATTGGAAATTAGCAAACTTTCTTCTTTTTAAGGGTGGAATTTTTTTTTAACTTACAATTTTATTGGGAGTTGGGAAAGGGAGAAAAACACTATAAACCCTTTAAACATGCCTTGTGCAATCTGTCATGACAGCATATACTGATATTGTATGTGGTTAAAATACCATTACACAAGAACCAGTGTAATGAGTTTGATTTGCAGGTTTTTTTTTTGCTTTTTTTTTTAATTCATATTAATTCTGTGTGTTGTATATAATTTGTGCTAGACACTGTTTCAGGGAGCTATTCTACTATTTTATTTTTTTAAGTTTACAATTAGTGTTATCTGGTGGTATCTCACATGACAAAGTGTGTCCCTTTGAATAGAGCCAAATTGCTCAACAAGCCCCTTTCTCACACTGTGCAAATTGTTTCATTTTTCATGTACCGTATGACAGGTACACATTAGAGCTGTTTCTCTGAACTCCTTTGTTTCTCGGTACGTTTTAAGTAATGTGTTTGCTTGACAGTTTTTGTTTCTTGAGTGCATTACTGATCACTTATCAGCATTAAATCTCATCTTACATGTATTTAGCCAATTTTGTATTTTGTCTGCCTTTCAGATAGTCAGATATATTCAATCTTCACTTTGTAAATGTAATTTATTTTTCTGTCCATATCATCTGCTTGTTGTTTTTTTTTTAAACACATAACATTTCCTAATATGCCAGATAAGACTACTTCAGATATGGTTAAAAAACAAGCAAGCATACTACTACTTTTGTACCACTGATTTAGTAGCTTTCTAATCAATATAGTTTGTGGCTAGTGATCATGTGACTTGTGTTAATTCCCTTTTAAAGTTGTCAAGTTTGATCAGTGACAGCAAAGATTGGAACTCCTGATGTCTTAAAGTGAATCTCCCATCATGCTCAGCTAACCTAAATGTACTGAGTGTTATATAATTTTTTTGGCCACACAATGTGGCCTCTTTCAAGCCTTATATGCTAGAAGTGAGATCTTGGGCGTCATCATCAAAGAAGTCTAAAGCACCTTTTTATAATGCAATATTGCATTTTAAAATGAGGGCAGTCCTTACTTTGCTTATATGGAAATATAAAACATATTGATGTCTTATTATAAGTAGGAAAGGATTCTAACTATTGTCTTACAGTTGTAGTATTGTTATTAGGTTCTTTAATTAGGCCTGCCACCTACAGACAAATACATAGCACAATTTAAATTTAATTATCTTTTAAAATTATCAGAGGATACAGAGTTTTAAAAATTTATATTGTAACCTTTATCTTGGAAAACATCAGATATGGTCTGACATCTTTTTTTTTAAGCATATTGTTGTCATCTCCTAAACTAAAGGTGTGACACAAAACAACATTGGTTAAATATTTCGGTAAAAATTCTATCAGAATGTAGAAAACAGTGCCCATGCACAGTACGTAAAACAGAATAAAACATTAATCCCCGTAGTGAATTGAAGCCTGGGTTATCCACAATAGTGAAAATTGTCAGTAATTCAAAGTGAATTTCAAGGTCAAACTCGCTGAACTGGACACATAGCTGACTTGGTTATTTTGGACTTAAATTTCAAATTCTCTTTGAATTCACTTTGAACAATACTCACTTTAATGTCTAACCCTGAATGTGTTCAGAGCCATTCCAATCCTCCTGTCACTTCCCTGGGTCTTTCAATGCAGCAATACATTTTGATCTAAAATGTTGCATTCCTAAGTTGAGCAGGTAGGTGTCCAATTTGTACAGACCACCTACAGAGATCCACCAGTATACTACCTTTTGTTTGTCGGATTGTACTGCTGCAGAGTTATAAATGTTTTTTTTAATGTTGATGTTGCATGGTTTAATTTTGCACATGTTCTTTCTGACTATAACATTCAACACTTTTGATACAAGTAGAGCATGTACAAGATTAAACTCACTACAATCAGGTTTAGTATTTTAATAACATTTTAATAGCTGTTAAATCACACAAGCTTGCAAAATCTATTCTACAAAATTTTTCAAGAGATCCTGTTCAAACAAGCTTGCAAACTCTTTATACATTTTTCTACACAGTTGCATAAATATAAAAAATAAACCTTTTCATGAGTCTGTGACATGACTGTGGCTTTTAACCCTTTCCAATAGACATTGGCTGCAAGAAAAGCAGGAATATCTCTTGCCATGATTATCCGAACATCTGTGAACAATGAGGAACTGGTAAGTACAACTCTGGTAAATACTACATTTTTTACTCTCTCACTGCCAAAAATGCGGTATTGCTAAAAAGTAGACACATTAGAAATCTGGTTGGCATATTTGAGAAAGTTCATCAAGCTGTGAAAACAGGAAGTTTGGTCCTTACTTCTTCCTTTTTGTCCATGTCATCTTGTACAATTAAAGTTTTTTGATATTTCCACACTTTGTATTGTTGTCAAAGCAGGCTTTTTACTGGTGGCATTCCAACATGTCTATCCAGTATTGCTTGTCTTACAGAATTATAGAGCCATACGTCTGTGACGCAAATCTGTGGTAACTGTTGTACAAACACAGTTAAATATATTCACTTGTTTGTGACTCAGTGGCTAATGCAAGTGTCCATTTTAAGTAGGTTTCTCCCATTTCTTGTGATTGTAACTAAAATCAGCAATGTTGGATCTCCAAACCCGATGAGAGTCACAGAAAACAACAATCACCTCTTTCTCATGCTCATGGTGTTCTGCAACTTGAAGAGGCTGGGCTGCAATGTTTGTATTTAGTAATATAAAGGATATAGCACTCATGATATTACCAAGATTTACTGGAATATATTGCAATGTTTCAGCCTACAAAAAGGCTGTTATTGTACATCACCAAACCTAGACATATTTACTATCCCTGGGAAGATCTGACTGAGAGACTTTATAATAACTGTTCTCTCGCTGTCTCTTCAAGTAAAAAAGAAAAATGTAATGGAAACATTTATAGCATGAAACTTTAAAAGCACCAATAGGTAGCCCAGTAAAAGTTAGTTATAAAATCTGCTTAGTGAATATCTACTGTGTTTTCTTGTGGTGAGTCTGTAGATATGTAAAATGCCAGAATGCTGTGTACTCTAATTAACATTAGAGAAACCAATAATCTTACACAACATAGAAATGTTAACATTTGCAGAAGGCTTTATGTAACAGCAATATTTCCAGTGACCCAGTTTTTTGCCTGTTTCTATATGAGAACATCGAGATGATTGGTAATAGTTTCTCTGGCCAAGCAAACTTGCTTTCTCTGAAAAATTAATCAGCTATCATCCAAAACTAATGAAATTGTGTATGCTGTTTGCCTCAACAGAAAACTCATGTCTTCAAAAAGACTTTGCAGGCTCTGATTTACCCAATTTCATCCACCACTCCTCACAACTTTGAAGTGTGGACTGCAACTACTCCCACATACTGCTATGAATGTGAGGGGCTGCTCTGGGGGATTGCAAGGCAAGGCATGAGGTGTACAGAGTGTGGAGTCAAGTGCCACGAGAAATGCCAGGACCTGTTAAACGCTGACTGCTTGCAAAGTAAGGATCTCCTGTATTTTTACATGCATTACAAAATTGAACATAAGAAATTATCTCCCTGGCAGATTTCAATCTGGTGGGCAATAAATATGGACACTACATTATTTTTTTCTGAAAAGGGTGAAAGGGGCACTCTAAATGACCATAACCTCAAAAGCAAATTTTAGTGGGAATGGTTATATGAGTTTCCAGGCTCTCAAAAATGATTTGGTGTTTGTCAGGGAAATGCCAGCTAAAGACACTTTAAACCACTAAAATTATGTATCCCCACAAAAATGTTCTTTTTTTTAGTGGCCACAATTTTTCACATTGAGAAGACGCCAGCATCCATTGGAAAGCATTGAGAATGCTTTCCTATGAGACTGGCTGAATGCGCGCGCAGCTCGTGCCTTCACAGTCAGCCACTGGCGGGGAAAGGAGGAGGAGAGTCCCCAGTGCCGAGGGAGCCCAGTGCTGGAAAAAAGGTAAGGGATTAAACTCTTCCTCCCCCCAGAGCCTGACGGGAGGGGAACCCAGAGGGTTACGGGGAACCAAGAACCCTATAAACAAGAACCCTATAAAGCCAGGAAAACAATTATGTTTTCCTGGCACTATAGTTGTCCTTTAATATCAATATATAGTATATCATTG